CCAAAACTGCCCCCTTTCATGGGTCCATAATTTGATTGCTGTTGTCCACTATAATTTCCAAAATCATTATAGTTCCCACCACCACCATAGTTACCTGAAATCAGAAAGGGTTTATGTGTGGTTTACCCACACAATAATCATTTTCCCCTTTTGATGTAACTATTATCTTTTGACAATTACGGTAGCACACACCACTTTGGTAGCACCACTTGGGATAACTGATGTCAGCATACTGAAAGACCATCAACATTTTGTTTGTATTACATGGTATTCTCTAAGCACATGTTCTCTAACATTAACACCATTAAAACTATCAAGTGTTCCACTCACTATGCTGCTGCTGCAGTACAACATTTAAAACAATGCAAAGGCATTCTAACTTGTTAAAACTTCGCTCATCTGTCACTGACATGTTAATTAGGTCCAACAAAACAGTACATTCATAAAGAAGCTCTTAACAGTATCCTGGAGTAATGATTTACATTAAAGTCTGCAATGTACCTGTCACGTATTAAGACAAGAAGTACTTTTTGTCTTACACCTAGATGGCAACCTGCTAACTTCAACATGTCTCACTATTCAAACAATTTATTCCCATTTGTCCGTTTAAAAGTTCAGTTTAAAAGTAGCTAAGAGTCAAGGTAAAATTCTGGCAATACATAAACTCCCTATCTTTTACATGTAATACATGTACTACATACTGGTAAATGCCCGCTTTTAACTTCTCAACTAGGAGTTGAGTACGTTTTACTAAACAGCCAGCAAAGTCAAGAAAATTTGGTTTGAATTACCCATTTTAGTATTTTCTAATATTACAGAACATACAGTTTTACCCACTGCTAGCTTTTAACACTTTTCAAACTTATGTCATGGGAACTGTTAGCAACACTATTTCCCATTTAAATGAAAAAAGTGAATGCTTACCACCGCCAAAATTTCCTCCTTCATTGTAACCATCATATCCTCCACCACCGCCACCATATCCACCACCTTGGTTTCCATATCCTCCTGGTCC